GGGGGGGGCGACCCCTCCCCACTAATCAATCAATCAATCAATCAATAAAAAAAAATAAAAAAGAGAGAAAGAAAAAAAAAAGACGAATGAAGCCGCGGGTTCCACCTATGTGTGTGTGTGTGTGTGTGTGTGTGTGTGTGTGATTGTGTGGGGGTGGGGGGAGCGACACCTCCCCCACCTATCAATCAATCAGTCAATCAGTCAAAAAAAAGCAAAAACAAAACAAAAATAAAAACTGTGAACAGATCTTTTTTTTTTTTTTTTGGCCCAAAAATTATCCGCCCCCCTCAAAAAATCCCCAGATCCCGCCCCTTTGTTCTGTAGTTTTTATGTTTTTTTTTTGGGAGGGGGTAGGGGAGCCCCCCCCAACTCGAAACCACTTCCCCGCTCCCCGAACCCCCTCCCATTTCGGCCGCAGCCGCGGCCGAAAGTTCTCGGCCGGAGCGGCCGCGGTCTCGGCCGAAAGTTCTCAGCCGGAGCGGCCGCGGCCGGGGGGGTCCCGGTCACGGCTGGCGGCTGCGGCCAAGGCCAGAAACATAGTCCCCGGGTACATTCGCCTCAAGCCCCACAGCGTGATGACATTGAAAAAAAAAATAAAAATCGAAATGACCTACAAAATAGCAAACGAAAATGCTTATTTTGGCTGGTTGATTTTTTTTTTTCCGTTTTTAATTATAAAAAAAATTATTCGTGAATTTTTTTTTTTGAAAAAATTCTAGGGAGTTACCCTTCGATGTCATCCACCCTCCTATAAAAACAAAAACATAATCCCCCAGCAAAAAAAAAAAAAAACCGCTCTTTGTGAACTTCGTGACCGGTCTTCGTCCACAGACCTCGTGAACGGTGAACGGGGGTACGACACTGGCCATGGGTGTCTTGGGTTCCCTGACGACCAAAGGGAAGGACGTAACTGCGGGTTGGTAGCATGGGTGGACAATGTTAGAAACCATCCTGTGACACATAGCCTTTGGACCGCCGATGTGCAGAGTACCTTGCACGAGCTATGGCGGGCCACACATTCGGAAAGCGGGGAGACTCGAGCCATGCAAGCGGAGACCGTACCAAGACGTAAAGACTTTTGCCCGGGGGTGGGGTGGGGATCTGCGATTGAACTGAATATGGGAGGAGATGAGGCAGGGGGATTAGCAAACCAAGAAATTGGAAGAGAGCACCTGACAGGGGTGCGATCAGTCTCGAAAGGAAAGGAACACAGGATGGTTGGCGTGAGAAGAAGTGATCCACGGCCGGGGGAGACAGGGGAAACAAAGGTGTTGGACGGGGAGACGGGCTTAGACAGCGAGGGGATGCAAACGGATCATGCCACCAAAGAGGAACTCCCTTAAGAAAGGATGCTTATTGGAGGCATGAGCGCGAGACCGCGACGGGTGAAAAGACCGAGGCCGCGACGTAAGATGCGTCAGAGGGAGAAACAGGGATGGAAAGGGAGGAAAGGGAAGCAGGTGATAGCCTCGTCCTCTGACTGTAGTCCATCCCTGAAGAAAGTATGGGGGAGGAGGAGGGGCGGTATATTGCCCACACCCGATGCGCGCGAATTGGCAGAAATGTTTGGGGAGCGAGCCTTTGTTTTGGGTTCACCCTAGGAGGAGCTACAAGTGTCGGGGGGAGCGGGGTTGGGTTAAGAGGACGGATTGGACGGGGGAACGGGTGGGAACGCGCAGGGTTCACAGGTTAGAGATGAGGGGTTGGAGGGGGGAGCGAAAGCTGGCAAATCGGGGGGGATGGAATATGCCTTGATTGACTCGGCCAGTCCGGATGTTCGTTCGCAGGGGCCACGGGATAGAGAACCAGGAAGGGTGGGGTCCCCTCCGACTGTGTCGGGTATGAATCCACTAGGACCGCTGAGCGAGAACCCTATGCTCCAGCCTCCCGGAGGGGCTACGGGACAGGGAGGTGGGGAGGATGGGATTCCCTCCAACTTAGCCGGGGTTCTTGGACAACCCCCCACGGCGGCGGAACGAGAGTCCTATGCTTCCAGAGGGAAGAATCAGACTCTCCTCACCGGACCCTGCATGCAGAGCATTGAAAGAAGACAAGGATCAGGATGCAGAACATAAAACAAGGGAACGAAATAAAGACCGCAGGGAGATGGGTCGGGCACAAATGCGTACACGAATGACACTTTTGGACGAAGCGTTCACAGATATGCGACAAGCGGGTCGCCTTCGGGTGGGGGAGCACTATGCAATAGCGCCCATGGAAGGGATATCTGCGATTCGGCTGGTGAAAAAAGGGGAAGACGGCCAACTCATGGGATTGAACCGTGACATCTTCTTGCTTAGAGCGGTCTTTTTCATGGACTCGGGGCAGGAGTCGTTGACCCCACATTTTTTGTGGCGGGACTTTCGCCAGTTGATGGGATTGGCGATGTGTGCAACGAGAGGTTTTGCGACAAGAGACGGTGGACACACATATCTTGAGAGGGGTGAAGTTGGTGAACCAGCGGCTACTTGACGATAAAAAGTTCACCAGTCACAACTTCTGGGTTGAAGGATACGAGTGGCCAGTGGCGAGATCGGAAACACGCCGTAGGGATCGGACAACACTCACTCTGCAAAGAGACACGGCGTCTAGTGCGGGTCCGCGTCAGTCGGCATCATCAGGCCAACACCGTTATCTGACCAGATCGTCACGAAGATCAAGAGTTGCGGTCAGCACGGTATCACAGGGATCATCAACACAAAAGAATGAAAGAGGTGCGAGGGGGGGGGCTGGATAGGGGGGATATGACTGGGCGTTGGAAGGTGAGCCCGGTCATAGGGGAGCTAAAGAGGGGGGGGGAGAACGCGCATGTTGGGAGGAGTGTCGGGCCATTGGGGAGCTAAAGAAGGGGGGGGGGAGGAGAAACAATAATCACCTGTCGCATCATTGGCTTTACCTGTGGGATTAGTGGCGGAGGAAATGACAGTAGAAAAGGCGATTAGAATAGTGTCAATTAATGTTTAACTTAGAGGATTGGGTGAGCGCTCAATTAGGTGGAAGACTAGAAAAATTAGATGATTGATAGATAGGGAAAAGATCCATATCCTACGTGTCCAAGAAACAAAGCTCAGAGAACAGAAGACTCCAGGGGGTAGGCGGTTGGAACTCAGTTCAGGGTTTCAAGTGTGGGCACCGGCAATGGGTACAATTGGGGGGGTGGCTATTGTGATGACAAAGTATTTCCAGCGTAAGGTGGTTTACTTTTTCGTCGACACACAAGGGAGGTGGGTGTGGGTCTGGGTGGAGATAGAGGGGCATAGATTGTTATTAACTACAGTATATGCCCCGCCGGAGACTACGCAGAAGAAATGGTTTTGGAGAGAGCTCCCGACCCATGTCCTCGAGGTAATAAACACAATGATGATGGGGGATTACAACACAGTGGTGCAACCAGGGTTGGACTCCCCCCATACAGGACCGGTGAGGCCGGATGCAGAGGCACTGCAGTTGATGATGGCTGAGCTGGCAATGGACTATGTATCACCCGCGGTCATGACCGTGGGCTTTTTTGCCGCATGCGGTCGGGGCCCCGCCCGCGACGGTCAACCCCCGCGGCCGACTGTGGGCATGAAACACG